TCCTTGTTATTCTAGCATCCCCTAACTTTTCTTTTTTTTGGGCCCTTGGTGTCTTTGAAAATTTTCTCAAGGTTTTAATAAATAATTATATATTTTAAGAATTAACAGCAATCCATTAAAGGTACTAATGAAAGTTGACAAAAGGATTATAAATGACTAGTTTTCTAAAAGAGGTAAATTTTATTTGTCAAAAAAAGAGAAATTTTGGATATTCTTTACCTATCCTTTAATTGTTTTGGGATTTTTTAATTATTCAAGGATATTCTTTACCTATTTTTTGTCAAAGATTTTTATTAATAAAATCCTAGAATAATTAAGATATAGGTAAAAAATTTCCGAAACCATTTCTTGAGATGTCTTGATGCTAGCTATAAATATGACAAAAAAATATTCTAATTCATCCAATATTCACTGCCATTCTAACCATATAAAAGAAAAAAGAAAAAAGGCCCAAGACATGAAGTGCCTCAAGTTTTTCGCCATCCTTATGCTTGCTCTTCTCTTCGCTACTGGCAAACCTTTTCTCTTTAATCTTTTTTTGTTCTTAGAATTTAGTTCTTTTTTCTTTGACATCTAAACTCTCAATGAAACACAGTTTCAGAAACAACTCGAGTAATGGATCAGGTAAGGGTTTGTGGCAGCTCACAGGGCACCAAGAGTTGCACAGAGGCAAGCTGTACCAACCTCTGCATTGGAAAGTTTGGAACCGGAGCAGGTCATCTATGTCAGCAGGGTGGCAATTGTCTTTGCTTCATACCCTGTTGAGCTACGAGTGTTTCCATATAATTGAATAGATTGGGGATTTAATAATGATATGGACTCCTTGATTTTCAGTACAAGCATTATTGTCTTACTAATTAAATTTTTCGCTAGAGTATTTTAACCTTTTCACATTTTGAGTTTATTTAAATTTATCTTTTTATTTTTCTTAATTTATCAACTCAAGATAAAATAAATTAATTTATACATTTTTTAATTAAAATAGAACAACCTAAATTTAATAGATGACATTATGGGGCATAACTATTAAATCCATTTCTCACACGTTAAGTTATTGATGATTTACCATTTGTGGACCTCATTTTTGTGTCATAACAAAAAAAAAAAAAAAAGGGGGAGGGGGTGCTAAATTTTATGACATGGTGAAAAAATTAGTAACTTTGAATTTTTGGGCAACGACAAAACACAACCTTAGGAATAATCCAAAGGCCGAAAAATGTCTTCCATGTATAACTCCAAAAATTGGTAAGAAATGTAAATTAAACAAAGTGAAAATCTAGCATTAAAATTGTCAGGACGTCTAATCACAATCATCATTTAAGTGAGACTCCACTTAAATGATGATTGTGCCCCACTTAAATGATGGTTGTTGTTAACACTAAAAAATATAAGAGATTGTGTGGAACCAAGTACTTTATTGATTAAGAATGATGAGAGTTTACAATAGAAAGAGAATGAAGAAGAAATAATCTCCCCTCCTAGGTTTAACATTGGGGTATTTATAAGATATAATATAGAATCACCCTACGATTACAATTTTTCTTGGGTTGGTGTTCGTGTATTCTAGTTCTAGTAGGATTTAACCTATTTAATTTTGATAGGACTCAATTTATGATATAACATATGCCCCCCAACGAAAAAGTTTTGTGTAGTGAAAACTTGCTTTGTCTTATTCCAACATAGGTTTCATAATAGGTAGCCCTCTCTCATAGAGTTTTGTTGCACTTGGCTTTGAATTCTGGACAGGTTTTTCAAACAAAGCTTTGTGCAAGCCCCCTCACTTTCATAAGTGAAGACGGAGTTTAAAACCTCTGTTGTTCATAAGTTTCTAGTCTCTATGTTTCAAAGATTCTAAACCTTCATGGCAGAGGTTTCATTTCTAACCACGATTGCCTTGTTAAAAACCTTAGCTAGAAAAACTCTATAGGATAAAAATCTAAATAATACTTTTCTAACTACCTTTTTGATAAAAATTTTCTTAGTAAAATTGACCCTCTAACCAAACAGGGCACCCTCTGTGTTTGGTTAGCCTCTTCGGACAAAGAATCCGTTCAAGGCTTGGGTAGGAAAAATATGCCATAAATGAGGAATTTAGGTGCGAAAACTTGTAGTTGGTTATATTATAAATAAACTCTTAGAAAATATGTGTACCTCAACACAATAGGGCCTTCAGCTTAAAATTAATTTGCAAGTTAATTTGCTATAGGTGGATTAATTCATACTACATTTTTTTTTTTTTTT